GGGAGCTTCTCGGCTTGCAACTCAAGCCAAGCCCGCCACAGATGTTGGCCTCTGCATGACGGATCGTTGTTGTTGGAGCTCGGCCGAGTGCGATGCCGTGAGAGAGGGGACTCTGAAAGCGCAGCGGGGGGCTGAAGCCCTTGAACTCAACCGATCTCTTGCTTCCAAGACTGTCAGTCACGACTTCAAACTGTGTTCTTCCTGGTTGGTTCACCAAATCTTGACCGCTTCTCCCTGGAGGTTCTCTGTTGGTCCAAACTTTTCGACTTTGTCCTCTAATCCCACTAGACAGCAAACACACACTCCAGGCCAGATACGAGGAGTTTGTACAAACCTTCACCAACTACGACGCGACTGTACAGTCTCACCTGTAAATGGCATGCTCCGGACATAAAGAAGCCCCTTAACCCAGTGTCGATGGCGCAAAGCTCAAAGAATGGTTTATGTGTCGAAAAGATATCAGCTCTTTATACGTCCAAAGTCAATCACTTTATTGTGAATGAGAGTTGCATAATGATGTATTTTGAAGAAATGAAAATAAGTTGTATTGCGTTACTAAGTGCTAATCAGGGAGAAATTATTGGTCGTTAAAGGCCGAGTCTGATGGGTTTTCACTGAATATGTTCTCTGTACATTTTTTTGTAAATATTATGCTTGTTTGGTACCCATGGTAGTTTGAAGAGTCTTGGACATGTTAATGAAGTTGTTCAGTATTGTATTAAGCCAGCATCATTAACGATATATTATAAATTGTTCTATAGACTGCATTTGAACCATGCACTCTGAATATAAACTTTTGATTTCAGAATATATGAAAGATTTAAATGTATTGTCGACTGACTGCATCACATGTGTATATTTTGTAACTGTTTTGTGGTTACACCATAGAGTACTATTATTAAATAATGTTATATACCATTTCCCTTGTGATCACTTTCATTGTTATTCTTCCTAACACGATGCGACCATATCATTGCCAAGACATAACATGCAGGGTAACCTAGCAACAGAAGCAATCGACCAATCTTTCAGCCGGTCTAAGAAGCATGACGGACTAACTAATGAGGAAAATCTTAATTTTCAAGGGTCGGGTAATAAGTAAACATGTTATCCAGCAATAAATACAAGGCTGCTAAAACAAATCATTTGAGATGCTAAGCCTCTAGGAGGAGAGATTTTCCACATAAAACGATCACGGGTATGGATGGAGCCAATCCCGAAAGTTAATAGCTCCCTAGATAGGAAACAAGACGGTACAGAGAGAATCACGGCCTATGTTGTCTCCCCATTTCATAGGAGTCCTCAGAAAGTCCTTCTTGGATATGTTTACAAACGTTATCTTAAAACAGGAACTGACCTTCATAAGCATGCGTTTCACTTTGAATTTGGCTTATTTCTTTAACAATAGACTGAAGTGGACTCATACAACCTGTTGTGGTCTAAAGATATGCCAAGTCGTCATTGATAGCTACACGACGTCATGATTATCTCTTGCTGTACAATTATCTTTAAAGTAACAGTGTGGAGACATTTGAATTTTTTACTCATAAGGTAGGGTTAAAACCCCTTAAAGTTAGGATGTCCCTCTCTATGGAAAACAAATGTACCACAAAAATGTACATTTTTTAAATATAATCGTGGGTCTAATAATCATTAATTACATGACATAGATCACGCCTCACGAAGTTAGGATGTCCCTCTCTATGGAAAACAAATGTACCACAAAAATGTACATTTTTTTCAATATAATCGTGGGTCTAATAATCATTAATTATATGACATAGATCACGCCTCACCTTAAAGGAGGCTAACATATTTCGCTGCCATCTTTCTACTACGAAGACCTGAAGGAAGTGGGTCTAATAATCATTAATTATATGACATAGATCACGCCTCACCTTAAAGGAGGCTAACATATTTCGCTGCCATCTTTCTACTATGGAGACCTGAAGGAAAAAAAATCAACCGACCGCAAATTTGCTGGATCAGTAATTACAGCATGTGTAACAAATGCAATGCACTTATTTCGTCACTTGAGAGAATACTCAAAGTCGTTTGTGATGACATTTCTTTTTTTTGCTGAAGAAATTGGTGGTAGGCTTGTGAAGAGTGGTCTCTCTGAGCACTTCGGACTGAGGCCGCTGCATTCTACTAGTTCACCACTAGATGCACCATAAATATCCATGAAACCTCATTCGAGAATTAGGCAAGGGTTCAAGCAAAATGACACAAACAATACTACTACTTTATACTATAACAGCTAGCCTAATCCACAGGGCCACACCTGTACATAAGGGGATGCTGGAAAGGCATGACAGGTGTTGTGCTTGCCACTCAACACTTGCTTTACTCATCCTCCTCTGTTGAAAAGCCATTGTCTGACAAGTTTTCTTTGCACCACACCAGACAATGATGTCACCAGGCATCGAATTACCTAATGGAATATTGTGAACACACACATTTGCTGCAATATACTTTGCAGGGTTCTGTTTTAAAAGCAAAGGCTGATAAATGCCTTTAAAGGTCTTTTGCTATAGTTATGTCTCTTTTGTGGTGATTTTTTTCAGGATCTTTGGGTAAAAGAGGCTAATGTAATGACAAAAAGGCACAATGAAGGTTTTAAATGAGATTTGGACCAAGACATGGAACTCTGACAGGAAGTCTACACTGAACCATGAATGGTGGGCTTGAGTATAACAGAAGAGTAACAGCAATATTGTCAATGATACCTGTGACCCTTTGTATTCCTGTAGCCATTGGAGTGAATCTCAATGATGGAGTTCCAAACTTCGTTGCCGTATCTCCAGGTTCCACAAGCCATAATCACTGATGGTAGACACTGTCAACGGTGAAATATAGACGAGTATTATTTTCAAGGCCAAGAAAAAGAATAAAGGGAGACAATGTGATTAATAAGAATGGTGCCCATTGAAAGTTCAGTTACTTGGAAAGCATATGTTCCTTTACTTCTGGGTCTTAAATTATATGAAATTAATTAATTTAATGCCTTGATCCACGCCAAGCCACTACAGGACATCCTATATATTCTGGTGGATCAGATTTCACAACTCATATTTAAACGGGCACTAGGCATAGCTACAAAGCCAAAAACGCAGCCGTTTGTCAAATTGATGATGAAAGGAATACCCAACAAAAATAACACAACACAAATTTGTGACCATGACTACTTTTTACCAGGACAAAGACGTGATTAAGTCAATTTTAAAATGCAATAGAATTTGTTACTGTCTTCTGCTGCCATCTGGTGGAATGACGGTGACAGTGCACGCAGAAACAAATTGTACAACGCATGTGAATTCAATGATTGTCAATAAACAACCACGATTCGATATACGTACCAAATACTCGGCTTGTATACACAATAATCTAAATGCACACGGACTCTTTTTTTTTTTTTTTTTTTTTTTTACACAACATATTATTCAAACGATGAAGACAACAATATTTTGGGGCTAATGTTTACCTGTACCCTAATATGGGTAAGTACTGAACCAGGTAAGAAAAGGAAGAAATGCATTGACAAACAAGTAAAAAGTGTCCGCATCTGACTTACATGTTCGTTTCTATAAGCTCTCCTATGTTGTTATATTTGATATGAGTTTAAACTGCGATTTTATTCTTGAATGGGACGGTGCTACGCGCTAGCAAGCCACTGTTATTAACAAATTTCTCGGCTCGTTGCTGTAGCGCCACAGTGACAAACGACGACATCCAAACGTCCACATGAGGTTATTGTAAAGCAAGCAGTTCGGGAACGCTATTTGTTGTAAACTTAAAGTTTGACATAAACAAGTGCTAAAATTCAATGATATTACGTCAGAAAAAGGAAGTGGGTGCGTCGCCAACTTCCTGTCGTCTGTTACTATCATAGCATTGATGGTGAATCCAACGATTTGTTTAGAAAAAGTTTTAAAAAAAATGTAGGTCTGGTTAAAGATGCACTTATTTCTTTTGGAGTCGTCTTTTGTCACAAAATGCCTGATGCACAAATCAATCAATCAAACAATCAAGCAAGCAACCAATCGATACTTGCAGATTTACACATACAAAGATTTCTTTCCTTTTTTTCAATATTTGTCACTATTTTTTTGTTTGTTCTTGGTTGTTTTCTGCCATTTCCCCACGCTTGTTGTGCAAAATTCATATAGAAGGTTTTTCAACATTTTTGAAGAATTTATTTGAGGTTTAAAAAAGTGTTGCTTTTTTATTTTTTATTTTTTTGCAAAGCATTTCAATGGGCGTCAGTGATTTGTGGATTTTTGCTATTCGCGGGCCAGCCCAGCCCCAGTTTAGGTTGTCGATTTTTTTTTCTTTTGAGACACTTGTACATATGTGGCACCATAAATTGGCAGTTTTTGCATCAGAAACACATTTTTGTGTTTACGTCAGGGGAGATGTAAAGATAAAGGAGGGGGGTTGATTAGTAAATCTCATTATCAAACTATGTGGCAGTCAAAAGAGTATCATAATGTTCTTAGCTGCCATCTCATTAGTCAGCTGTTACCAAACCAGGCTCTTACTCAAAGCATTGGGTCACAAGTCACCTGGATGATGATGGAATTAAGATAAGATAAGATAAGAAAACCTTTATTAGTCTCGCAATGGAGAAATTCCCAATACACAGCAGCAAAGTTATGAAAGGAAGAAGTAGAACAACAAAATATAGGAGCTGCTGGAATTGAAAAAAAAAAAGGATCATGTTAGTCCTATACGGCCCAAATGAACATTGTCTGTGGCTTCTTTACTTCTACTGATGCATATTGTGTATGCTTTCGTTCACAATATAAATGATATAGTCAATGAAAATACACCCCCTAATTTTGGAATTGAATAAATCGAATCATGCAGTACATTCAAAATTTGAAAACATTTGAGTCTCTGTGTTTTCCTCTTGGATGATTCAGCACCTTGAATGAAGGAAGAATGGCCACATTGAGAGAATTAAACAACACACCTGTTTAATAAGTGCAATGGTACAGTCTGTCTTCATCTCAATGTTTCGAGACTACCTGTAATGTGCTAGAACAACGTTATTAAGAAGAGAAAGGGGGGTGGCTCGGGATCGGGGTTAGGGAGAGATTAACCACATGGAGGATGGACAGTAAAGCTGCTGCGTAATCCGCACAGTCGATACAAAATCAGACCGGCAACAACTCACATACTTTGGACGACATGCTCGGTGTCAAGTGAGGACCGCAGAGTTGAGAATCTTCTGATTTTTGGATCTTTTTTTGGAGAAAGAGACCAGCAACTTCACAATTTTTAAAATATCTTCCTCCTCCTCCTCATCATCACAAAGGCCGAACCATGAAAAAAGAAAAGGTATGTTTTAATGTTGAACCACCAGTGATAACTTTATTAACCTTGTGACAAGATAGTTGTTAATCTATAACCGTTTTGGTGGAACATTTTCTAATCTGTTGTTTGTGTTAAAAAAAATAAAAATTTTGATCGCACATTATTTACATTGCTGGCTTCCCATAGGTGGAGGGCCTTCACATCCATTCTAATACGTGAAACTAACGTGGAAGTCGTTTGCGGGGTGTTGTGTCCTGACTTCCCCAAAAATAAACAGTCAAATAGTGACTTGGCATTGGAAAAATATTTGATTGTTGATTGTGTGGTACTGATTGTTAAAGTTTACCAACAACCGCCCCGGGGGGGGGGGGGGGGGGGGGGGGTGGCATCTTTTATCTCAATATGATACTGGCTTTGAACTAAGAGTTCAGAACATTCAGTATATAAAACAACACTGAAATGCATGGGTAAATGTGTACAGTCTATGTAATAGGATGAGGGCAAGTGTACATGTGATGTTCACAGTCAGGACAGCCGTGTGAGGGAAACCATAACTACGATGTGACCCGTGATTAAAATTAGTTCAACACCCTTTGTTCATTGCAATCGATCCCTTTTCCTGATTGTGTACACTATGTGACGATGAAAGTGATTCTAATGTCGTTTCTCAGCAGGTCAACACGGACAATGAACCACCATCATACCAGGAAGCAACCGCGGGTAAAATACTGTGTTTTATTCCACGCAGAAACAATCGTATTTTTATTTGTTTCAGGAAATAATGTATCAGCAGTATACTGTATGCGTCTTTAAATTGTTGATGAGGAAAGTGACATTTAGCGCTTGTTACTGTGAGCTACTGGTTACGATACGAAAAGACGTTTTCATGAATGACAATATCTGTCTGTGTCCAGGCTATGAGGAGATGCAGGCCCAGTTTTCTTGGGATGACCAGACCATTCGGCAGACCTTCATCAGGAAGGTAAACATTGTTTTATCAGCAATCGTAATGCTGTGTTTGATAACGATGAAGAAAGTAGGGTAATGTGACACGATCATGACACGTGATTTCCTTTGCAGGTCTACGCCATTCTCATGGTCCAGCTCTTAGTGACCGTGGCAATTGTTGCCCTCTTTACATTTTGGTAAGATCTCTTCAGTATGTTGATACAATAATGCGTACTGTGCACTCACTGACCTTTTTGTTAAGGACACCTGCACATATTTAATGAGATCCAGTATGAGAGCCGTGTAGCAAAACATAAAAATAAAATTGACTTGCGGCGTCCGGAGGGTGGAAAAAATTAGCCCCTGTCAAGACAATGAAACATAAATTTTCACTCGGGGCGGCAGTATCCATTATGTAACCCAGCAATCACGTGCTCATTATCAGAAGCTAACGCCGGCAAGTGCATTCAACAAAACTAATTGCAGCTCTGCTTACCATTTGGCTTTGACGTAGTGTGTCAGAGTATGTAGTCCGACCTTTGATTGAAAGTGGCAGAACTTCGTAGTTGAGTCACGAGTAGAGTAATTCAGTGTGATGGCATTTATTATGTAAATTAGCAAAACTGTGATGTCCCAGCCCAACATTAGGTCGCTCCTAATGAAGTGGCCAGTGATTGCCATGTTGTTGTTGTTGTATTTGAAGCACGCTGACTTTTTTCATTTGCCTTTGCAGCGCACCCGTAAGGTTCTTCATTCAGACTCATCCTAGCTTGTACATGGCGTCTTAGTGAGTACAAACACATTGTTGCCCCTCACCTTGTACTAAAGTGTCCCAGTTTCTTAATCACATCGTTTGACTTTTTTGGACAGTCTCATGTTCTTCGCCACTTATATCGCTCTGTCTTGCTGTGGAGACTTGAGGTAACTCTACTTTTCAATAGGAATTAAGTAAAAGAAAGACCCAAGTAATATTGAGCATCTGCGAATGAAAGTGTTTTTTTTTTCTCTCAACAGGAGGCAGGTTCCCTGGAACATCATTTTGTTAGTTCTCTTCGTGAGTATTCCTCATTGTGAAAGCAGCACTATTTTTTGTGTGTGTGTGTGTGTGTGTGTGTGTGTGTGTGTGTGTGTGTACCCAGCGTGAACTATTGCTTTTTCTCCTCGCACAGACTTTAAGCATGGCCTTCATGATGGGATTTGTGTCGAGGTGAGTTCATATTTGGGTCACACAGACACCAATTTTTCATTGCGCGCTCCGCTTTGTAGTAAGTCAGAAATATGCGACCAAGCTCCCTCTTTCTCCAGCTTTTACAACACCAAGTCGGTGGTGCTGTGTTTGGGAATCACCTCCCTTGTCTGCTTTTCTGTCACCGTCTTCAGCTTCCAAAGCAAGGTGAGGAAAATGCATACGGTACTGTGTATAGACAAATAGAGGTAGATAAATAGATTTTTTTAAACAAATGTTTGTTTTCATTGTGACGGTGACAATATCCATTTTAACATTGAATTATGTGTACAGAGTTTATTGCACATATAATCTAGCCATCCATTATTTGAACTGCTTTATCCTCACGGGTGTGCTGGAGCCTAACCCAGCTGATTTTGGGCATTAAGTGGGTTACACCCTGAACCGGTTGCCAGCCAATCGCAGGGCACACATAGAAAAGCAACCTTTCACACTCACAGTCACACCTACGGACAATTTAGAATGATCAATTTACCTACCGTGCATGTATTGGAATGTGGGTGGGAACCGGAGTACCCGAAGAAAACCCACGCAGGAACGGAGAGAACATGCAAACTCCACACAGGACGGCAGAGGTCCGGAATCAAACCATGTACCTCTGCACCACGAGGCAGTCGTAGTCTCCAGTTGTCTAAAGTGCTGCCTGAACAAATAACAATAACAATAATAATAATAATAATAACCCATGAAGGACTCATTGTTAAATTATGAATTATTTGGATGTGGTTCAAAGCATTTTTCTTGTTTTCCTCTTTTCAGGTTGACGTGACTTCCTGTCAGGGCGTCCTGTTTTCGTTGTGCATGGTCATGTTGCTGTGCGCCATCACCCTGTCTATCGTCGTCCCTTTTGGCTACGTACGTTCCTTTACGAGACCTTCCCATAACATGTCAAAAATAGAGGAGATTTCGGAAACATGATGCCGCCGTGTGTTAACCTGAAAGGATTAGCATCACAGATAATCTAGGCGAAGCGCTGCACTGTGTTACCTAAATTAGAAGCATGCTATCCTTCTTAACAGTGTTTTGTAATATCTACCTTGTCTTGCAGGTTCCCTGGTTACACGCCATTTATGCGGTCTTGGGAGCCATCCTCTTCACCCTGGTGAGAAGCACGTTAACTGTTTGAATTGGCCACACCCTCCTCCAAAACACAGCAATCCACATTTGGATCACCAAAGTTGACAGTCCTGAATTGTCTTTGTCAAAATGTTGGACAAACACTTAGTTACACAAGCAAAATCGTATGGCTTACCACCAAACAAATATGCCACAAAAAGGTACATACACTTAAAATAATGATGGCCTCATCTCAATTTACTCAGTTACTTACTCAGCGTGGGTGCATTTTGTTATTTGAATGGCAACAGGTGGATGCACAAGTTAACTGTATCTAGTGCCATCTGAAGGAAAGGCATTTAATTATTCTGCCCAGTCGAATACAGTAGTTTTCTGGTGTAGATAAATGAGCAAAGATACATTATTTGCAGTAAATAAATAAAGTTCTGACCATTTGGGAGAAACTGGATAATTTCCCGTGCGCACTTCTCACTGCTGCAGCACCGTGAATGTGAATCCCTGCAGCGGAGCACAGTCGTTCGCCAAGGCCCAACAGTGGGCCCTTTGCACATAATCTCCCACACCGAAACCGAACTTCAGCTCGACCTTTTCCTGTTTTGAGAAAATTATCCTTTTCGGGGTGTCAAATCCAGGTTGGGAGAGTAAACCCTGCCGCATTTTGTCTTTAGGCAAAGATGTGTCAACCCAAGAGAGTAGAAGCACCGGTGGCTTAAGACAAACTCTTGGCAGGGTTTACTTTTTGGACGCGGATTTGATACCTCCGTCAGATAGAAGGGTTTGCATTTTGGCCGTCCATTTAGATACATTTTGTTTTTTAAATCAAACTTTCCGTCTGTCCAATACAGTTCCTGGCATTCGACACTCAGATGCTACTTGGGAACAAACGGTTCAGCATCAGTCCAGAAGAATATGTCTTTGCCACGCTCAGCATCTACCTGGACATCATCTACCTGTTCAGCTTCCTGTTGCAGATCGTCGGAGGCGGTCGCGATTGAAGCGACTCCCGTAGCCACGCTTTAGGTATCTTCGCCGAACTCTTCTTCAAGCCAACGAGCATTTTGTAAACTGACAAAACCACATCAACTTTTTACTGTAGTTTTACCTTTGTACTCGTACGTATCAGCCTTGTGAGAATATGTGTGCACCAATATGTGATTTGTGACATACAGTAATAGATGACTCTAATACGTCTGCGGTTGGGCAGGATAAGGAATTACGGTAATCTGTGATGAGTTATCCTTTCATTCCAAAAGTACAAGTATGGCAGTGAGGACTCATGAATGTTATGCACATCTTGTTATTTTTGAGTCTTGAGTTATTGTAGCGTTCACGACCACTTACCTTATTCCGCGTGGCATCTTTTATACATGTTTTGACTTTACCGTGTTTTTCCATTCATGATGAGCAAGTGCATGTAGCAACATGCATAAATGTCAATGCCATCATAGTTGATGATGTGACGTATGTATTAAAAGTGAAATTTAGCATTTATTTTGAATAATATACGTTTGTGGCATATACTGTTTTTCTATTTAAATGTGATGTTGAGATAATTTAAAAAAGCCTCATAAATTCTCAATTCTCATTAGTGCATATTAAGACAAATTCTTGGCGAAAAAGTGAGATTCAGCCAATGCCGGTGCTCACACTTACACAAATGGACAGTTTTGAGTTTTCCGTGAACTGAGGCAGGACAGGGGTGCCCAAGGCCGGTCCTTGAGAGACCCTATCCAGCCTGTTTTAGATGTCTCCCTCCTCCCCCCACATCTGGTTGAAATGTTCAGTTCATCAGCAAGCTTTGCAGAAGCCTAATAATGGTCCTGAACATACAATCTCCACACAGGTCGGACAGAGCCAATAATCGAGGCCAGAACCTTTTGACTGTAGGGGAGACGTGCTTAGCATTTCACCACAATCTTGCCATTATTTCATTTTTACCTCCTAAAATAATGTTGAGTGTTATTTTAAAAAGTTTTTGCAATGGAGAGAAAAATAAAGATAAATGGTAGACCAATCATACATACACTGGTGTCTTAATGCAACGGAATCTCAGTAATTATTTGTGGTCTAAAGAAGAAAAATATGTCAGCTATGACGATTACATTGGCATTGGAATACGAGTTCAGAACATATTTAAGGAAATTGCGTCAAATGTTCTTGCCAAAATACATATTACATCTCACTCTCTTGGTAACTTGAACTTTCTGAAAGGTAGTAAAAAGAGTTTGTTTTGGGCCCTCTGTATGAGGTGCTGGACTTAGACGTGATAACAATTTAATGTCGACCATCCACAATGACTAATCATTGGAACAAAGATCTTTATTTAAAAAAAAAAAAGTACAACGGACATTTTAAAATTCAAAGACAAAACCAAGAATCTCTTCTTAAATCAATTACAAAAAAAAAAAATTACAATTTTAGAAACTCTGGCACAGGAAGACAACAGTAGCCAAGTGGCTTTGCAAAATAACCAAATATCAAAAGCTCTTTCCTCTAACAAAACTGTACAAAATGAGTTCTTGTATAAATAAAAAAAAAATGTTCACAAGCAGGGGGCGGGAGGCAACTGGTGCATTTTCAAAATCTTTGATTCAGTGTTTTTAAATTTTTGTTGTTGCAATGTTGCTTCCATTTTTCCATTTTAATATGTACTGTATACCAGTAATGATGGAAATTGTAGATTCCTCGATGTGATACCAAAACGAAAGATTTAGAAAATGCACACAGGGCAACAACCTACAACCTGTTGAGAAGTCCTGTTTTAGCAGCAAAACATTTTGAAGCTATGAAATAAGCCATCAGTCTCTTTAAGGATGACTTCTATCAAATTGTTTGTAAGTACAAAATAAGTGCATGGAGAGAAACTGTGGACCATTCATCAGAATAGAGTCTGACACAATTCAAAGTAACTTTTCATGATGCAGATTCCTTTTCCGGCATCGTACATAAACTGTAACGTTAGGTTTGCTTATAATTTGGTAAAAACGGTCAAATAAATAAACACTGCATTGTAACAAAGTAGTCATTTCATAGTTCCAAAATCCTTTTGTGTATGTGTGTGTGTGTGTTCATAGTGATGGCTAACACATTGAATATACCATTTCTCTCATATAGATATTTTCCATGACATACTCCTTCATGGCGCGATTGGTTCAGATGACGTGCTAGCGTCTGTGTGATCCGGACAGTTTATCAAACAAAGAATAAAAGTCATGAAAACACACCCACACAGGGGGGAAAAAAGGTGTCAACATAAAGGGAAAAACAAAAACTATGTACAAAATGTGCTCTCTCAAGCTGCACAAGGTGCTCCTCCTGGAAGCCTGCTAAGCCCACTATGTTTACTTGCACTGCAGCCTTCCTTCGCATGCTGTATATAAGCATGGGACTGTACTCCCCCCCTCCCCAATTACTTTCCAAGTGGAAACAAAACCACGTTGGATTCAGAGTGCATGAAAACGCCATTGCCCTCCTGAGTCATTCAGAATAAAAGCAGTTTGTCCGGCTCGCATCGCACGTCTTGCTGAGAGCAACATACGAACGTGAATGTATGGGTGACAACAACATCTTTGGTTGCACAAATGAACAACATATCACACAAAACATGTAAAAAAAAATAGAGAGAGTCAGCATGTTTTTTGGTGCCGCAGCCAAACCTGATGAACAGCTTAGCTCCGGCCAACCAAAATTATGGTTAACTCGATGTCTTTCCAACAAGTTGGTTACTGTCATATGTAGTGACATTCCTTGGAATTTGAGGCAGTTCACACAAAGAAAAGAACATTAAGGCTTTGCTAGAATTAGGATTTCCAGATGACTTTGTTTCACTCACTAATCAAAGATACGTATGCCCCTTTTCCACATGCTAATATTAGCTTTGCCTGGTGCCGCAGTAATGCACACTACTTGATGTACGACTCCACCAACTTCAACGTCCTGCAGCGATTGGTTCCCTCAGTTTCACTTTTGAATAAAAACAGCCACATGCTGTGAAGTAAAGAGAGAGCCTTGTGCTTCTTTGTTACTCGATTCGCATGTGTTTGTTGCGATTGATGTGTTTGAAGAGACTTTTTTTTTTTTTTTTTTGCAGTTTCACATGCAATATTTTGAGGTGGAATCCACCCCACCCGGCGGCAAGTCAAACCAAGCCTTTCCTATTAACCGTGCAGTGGAAAATGGGCATGAATACCCTCTTGAATGGCACTCTTACGGTCTAGTGATCAATCTTTGAAAAGCCAAGAGGTTTGCAGTTTGTAACGTGTGCGTGAACGAAAACTTGTGTGGATGCAATGGCTTGTCGTATGGTCAAAGCCTCATCTTGAACTACGACACTGATGCAGCGTCCGTATGAATGTTTCGAGTCAGCAAACAAAGTCAGGATTTGGTTTAGCTGTCCACTTGCAAAGGTTTTTAAAAAAAAAAAAAAAAAACTTTTTTCTTTCTTTTTTTAAACAAAAAGGCTCAACAGCACAACAAAAGGAACAGAGACCCCTGTGAATCAAAACACGAGAAACCGTGATGTTGAGCAAGAAAACGTCAAAACTAACACCTACAAACTAACATCGAATGCTATCTCTCTACAGCTAAAATGTCATCTACTTCGAAGATAAACAAAAAAATAAGGCAGGTTAGCTCAAAAGGTTTTCAAGTGACAGTCAAAAGGAAAAACTTACCAACAGGAAAAAAAAAAAAAAAAAAAACAACAACTAGACAATCAATGACTCGAAATCAGGTGACAACAGCAGCATTGAGAAAAGACCTACAGCTCCCTTTGCAACCAATCACTCGGAAATCTTCAATTGGAGTTCCCTCATGTTATCTCGAATGAACAACTGCGGTCATTTCACCGATGCACGTCCCCTCCTCGCGACAGGAGGACCAATTGAACGATGCTTTGAAGAGTTGCTTCAACAAAACCGCTTAAAACCACTTCTCAACATGGGCGTGAGGAGCGTGAACAGGCGTCATGCTGATCTACAGCCTGCGTGCACCACATACACAGAACACCGATCACATTAAAAACTCATAAAATCACCAGAAACGCTGTGGAATCCTAGTCCTGTGCCCTCAAAACAGACCGTTTTAACTATGATGTTCAGACGCTATCGTCCTGGGATTGTCTCCAGCTCCACAAATTGTAACGGGAATACAATGTAAATAAATGAGTAAAGCGTAAAGTGAACTTCATGTTGTTATTACTGTAAAATACCCTGCAACCATGAAGAAAAAAAAAAAGTCAAGCTTATTCGAGAGCAGTGATTCCCAACCAGGGTGCAATGAAAGGGGTGCCGCAGGAAAATATCATTCATTAATAATAACTATAACTTTGTTCATTTCTCTATGCTAGCGACAAATAGGGATAGAGCCGTCTATGTACATTATGCCAGTGACGTATTGTGATGACTTGACACCGAGTAAGTCCCTTTGTGAGTAAACAGAGATGAGATCCGCATCATTTCACGGTTCAGACTTGTTTTTAGCCAAAAAGAGAGTTGGAAAAGCCGCTCTGTTGTTAGCCCTTAGCCTGTTTCGCAAGCAATGACGCTAGCTAATTTGCTGCTGCTTTTGGTTCATATTTGCTGAAATCGTGACCCTCATTTGTGTTAAGATCATTTACACCAGACTATTTGCTACTTGTTTGTTTGAAGTAGAAAATTAACGTAGCCTTTGCCTGGTTAGCAACGGAGTTCGCGAGCAAGCCTTCTGCTGCTTTTGCGTTATATTTAGTTGCTGAAGTTGGGACCCTCAGCTATGCTAAGTTGTATTATGCCACACGATTTGCTATTTGTTTAAAGTGGAAAATGAACTGTTTATTTGCTTCTATACGAGTAGTCTGGCCATCAAGTGAGAAAAGACAACATGCTGCCTTGTTCTGAAAAAGGCCAAATTTGGCCTTGTCATGACATCAAAATCGAACATAAATTACAAATTGCAGTTGAAAAGCTGCCTTCATGAGTGAAAAAAAATCTATGCTTTTACAGTCTTTAGGAGTGTTCAAGGACTCTTCATGATTTGATTTTCCCCTTTGAAAGTAAAAGCGATATTTGGTCCCAAAATTTGCAAATACGTAGTAGCCTCTGGTCATACTCATGTTGGCGCACTTTGCAGTAGAGGGGAAGTGAGGTGAAAAGTGGCTCATTTTCAGCTTCCCCACTGCCAAAACAGTCTGGAGGGTGATAATTATTCTTGATGCTTGGGTTATTTTGACCACAACATGTCACGGACATTTTATGAAGACACCATCTGTTTAAATGTGTGTCCTTTAAGAGAATTAGTAATACGTTTGAAACAGAGGCACTGTGAGACTGTAGCACTAGGGTTACTAAAATCATAAATAATAAAACATTACTCATCTCACTTTGTATTACATTATTCATTTGTTTACATTGAATCCCATTAGTGAAAACAGGTAGCAGAAGGCTAGGGACAGAAGTGGTCGTCTGACTGTGAAAAGGGCCAATAGTACAATTCCTCAAAAAATGTCAGCTTATCACTCTGTGGCTTCTTTGTAGTCTTTAGAGACCCTACTATTAAATAATGTCTTTTTGTTTTTTTAATAAAGGTTGAAATGGTTTTAAAAATTCTGGGAAAAAAAAACCCTCAGAAAAAGAAGTCAAATATAAATAGAAATAATTGATTGTCTTTTGTTCATTCAGGCTTTAAAAATAGGAGTAACAAGTATAAATAAAATGTGTTTCTATCATTTGTGCATGACTAGAAATCTCTGCAGCAGTTAGAGGAAGAAGTAGCTTTAAACGGTTTGCCTCCCGCGATTCCAATGACGCGACATACAGCAAAAGTCTTTCTGTTCATTTTTTTTTTAAACCTGTACAAACTGTTGCCCCGCCGCTGCAAATAGAATGTCAAACAACAAACATCAGGAAATTAAAAGTTTGCATATTTTACAAAAAATTAAAAAATAAAAGACACATTGTGTTTTAACTCTTTTCCTTGAATCACTCTGAAACATCCAGAATGCAATTTCTTTTCTTTTTAAAATAAGAATTTGTTATATTACGTGCATAAAAATAACACTCTGTTTTTTTTTTCCTCGTCGCTAATTTTTCTCCTATTTTTTTTTTCCTCCAACATTTTATTATGTTCCTTGTTGCAGTTATCAAAATAGATCAGATCTTCTCTGGAGAAGATTATTACCTCCTTTGGTAGTTCAACTTGTGAGCAGAAACGTTCAATGTCGTAAGTGTTGTCTTGTTTCTTTAAAATGGAAAAAAACAAACAAACAAACAAAGAAACAAACACACACACACACACACACACACACACACACACACACACACACACACACACACACAAAACACAATTTCACTCTCTCTCGCATACATGTACACACGTTCCTTTTGTCATCCATGTTCAAGTCCGGATGCTTGGTAACGGTATAGAGCAGAGTCTTGTTTAGCTGAACCCTGATTGGTTGGATTCATCACATGGCCAAGGCCCCTACCCTCATGGCGCTGGAAGAAACCACAGAAACACAGAGAAATGGTACGATTAAATATTAATGCATAGTTTAGTAACTTGACATTTTGAACAAAGATTGGACCTTGAAATTGACCTCGTGGATCACGTGACTTTAATTTTCCTCGTGAAATGTAATCTCAAATCTTCTCTAAAACATAAAAGTCTCATAGTGGAATTTGGTTGGTTATGGTTTCGGGAAAATTGAGGTGAGCTAGGCCTTCTCCTCAGTATTATAACGAATAAATAAGCCTAAACGAAGAGCACGTTCATGTCACCAACTACACTTCTGAATGTGATCAAGAAAAAGAACTTAGTTTTGCCACGCCACTTTGTTGAGCACTTGGCAGCGGCAGATAAAGTCGTTCAGATGTTTTCCACTGAATTGCAATGTGCCATGTGTCAAAATTCATACCTTAGCTTCACTTGGTGTGTTGGTACGAATAGTTTGTGTGTTCTGTGGGAGTTTCCATAGCAACCTGTTGCTGTTGACCACCGTTCTCCTGAAAAAAAACAAATGACAAAGGATTTAATAAGCTGTCTACTGACCTCTTCAAAAGAAGACTTTGATGTTTACGATACACTTCACGCCCTTCGTTTTCACCCCGACGCTGTTCACCGCTTGCTACCACCATGCCGCTCCCCATTCATAAATATTGCCCCCCCCCCACACCCCCGTTGACAGCGCCGCTCATTCTGCAGGTTCCCACCACCATTTACACTGAATTAGATCATTGACGACGCCCCGCAGGCACGGACGGCCTCATGCAGAGAAGTGCCAGGATGCTTTCATTCAGCAGTTAATGTTGGCTCCTTCTTTTAGTCTTGTTTTCTTTTCATAAATTTGAGAAACGCGTTGAAAATGGACTTGTAATGGGACTAAGTGAGGAGGAATACAGATACCTTATGTGGGGGCGATATAAAGAACATTTTGCCTAATGAAACCAATTGTGCAAAACATCAGAGCTATAACGTACTCTAAATGTGTTTGTCACTGCTCTGAAAGGGCTGCTGTGAATACACAAAATAAACCAATCATCCCCATTTTGCATGTTCAAGACACAAATTATAATCCAATCCACATTTTCTTCCTTTTGGAAAATATTAAGGCGTGATTGATTCATTTTGTACCATTCATTATATACCGTTACAAATATATACGGTGTACTTATAACATGTATACATGCATTTATGTCACTCACATACATAAGAGTATATACATAAATACCTCTACTGGGACATTGGAAGGAGGCACTGGGGTGTACTGGGGGATGTAGGTCCCCTGCATAGTTGTGTTGGCCGGAATATACTGTGTGGAAGAAAACAAGAGGACACAAACTGGATAAGTACTTTAAAGGGAGCATCATAATTGGAATTTTTTTCACAAAATCTCAAAATGAAGGACCCGTAACTTAAGTGTCCTCAAAATAACTTGCAATAACAAAAGTCAATATTTTGAATTTAGTTGGTGTTAGCACAATGGAAAAATGTCACCCCTGTCATAAAAGCCTGTGAGAATCACTTCTTTATACCACCGAGATGATGTACTCACTGTTCCCGTGCTGCCCAGGGAAAGGTGGCTTAGCTGCTGGGCAAGAGGTCCCATCATAGATGTTGGCTGGATGGACATAGCGTGATCCATTGCTGGGGTAAGAACTGTACCCTGTGGATGCAATCAGAATCTGGTGAGTAACAAGACCTACGCAAGCGAGTGTCATGCTCAAAATGACAGAGATGTAAAGAAAAGCTACTCACAGCTGGTTGCATGAGGTATGACTGATGGTGCATCCAGGACGGGCTGTGCACCTTCCCATGAAGGAAGAATGGCAGTAGTTGAGACTGCGTATTGGATATTTGGGAACGTGAGACAAAAATGTAAGTAAAATACACCACCTGGTAGGATGAGACAGGAGAATGCATGTAAGGTGAGAGAGACGTCTGGGCGATCATCCGGTTTGGAGCCAGGCTGTATGGTGAGGAATAGAAGCTGTCGAATAGAAGGAGACAAAAAACATGAAGCACATCCACTAATGCGGCATGATCTCATTGGCATTGAAAAAGGTATAAGAAAAGTTCATCATCAGCTGCAAAAAAATGTAAGCGTACATTACATAGCATCTTAAATCTCCAATCCAGACTTGTGTGCTTTTCCCAAAACATGTTCGTTTTTTGTGAAAAATCAAGCCATTATCTCCACCCTCAAACGCTTTAGCTGTGTTCGCTGAATGTGACACTCTTCTGATGAAAATTGGATGCTAATGTGTAGCTTCTTTCTTACACTTAAAAGTTCAGAGAGAACTGAAGCAATTCCCTTGTCATTTAGTGGTTAGAATTCGGTGCTCTCACCCCCACAGCCTGGGTTCAATTCCCGGTCAGGGAACCAATTGAAAAGCTCAAATGGAAATTAGCCAGTCTGTTATTTATAATGCGTACAATACTAAACTAAAATTAACTGCCAGAGGACTGACTGTATATTGTCAGTTAAACGATTTCATGAATGCCAAAAATATCGAGCACACAGCTCTGGGGCCTTTTCTGCCAGATGCAGAAAAAGGTCGGTCTTCTCCAAAATGATCCCTAATCTTATACTGCCTTAGCTGCTCCCATACATGAGGAGGAAAGGGGGGGACTTCACCCAGCCCATGTGTGACTCCACCGTCTTGACTGTATTCAACTAGTAAGTTTGCCAAAACGTGCCATTCATAGGGAAGGGCAAGTCGACACAAGGAGAAAGGTTATTGCAAAATAACAGCTTAGTTAAAGTCACCAGTTTACATAGAAGTGCCAAAGAGGCCTAATCTAACAACGCCTACACACCCCTACTTGTTTGTGCCACAAAAATATATCAGCTTGAAGCCTCCTCCGGCTGGAATATATGACACTCAGCTGATGTGTTGTGGAAAGCACCGAGAGGCGCTAGTCACTAGTTAGCCCACGAGCTAACAAGCTTGGGTGTAGGACGAGTAACAAAGTAAATGACTCACAATTGCGGCGGCTAGCCAATGACGCAAACAACGTGCTCACACTGTTAGATGACGGATGGAGGGGGACTCATGCTGGACACCAAAGGGTGTTATTCGGCATCGTTTTAGCCAAGCCAGAAAAATCGGTAAAAAATAAAATAGTGAAAAATAATGTCATGTTTTATCTCCACAACCCAGTACCGTCAAGTTCTCAGTCTTTGCAACTGTTTTCAGCACTCATCTTCAAACTTATACAGTATTTAGAAGCAAATATCTGAATTTACATTACACGGTCTTCAAATGTTGAAGCTGTATTTTAAAAGTTGTACACAAACCAACGAAGTAAAAAAATATAACCTCAACGTCGCAGCAGGGGGCAGCATTGTAGCAGTTTTGAGGTGCTGCTTTTTTTTTTTTTTTTTTCGTGTAGGTTGGGACTGTTTTCACTCAGGCCCTGCATACCACTCACCCATTTTGTAATGCTGTGGGGTCATACGCAAGCGTCATTCCTCCCTGGGAAAACAATGTGGGATTCAGAACCACTGAGGTCATGCAAACAGCAGTGCATTCAGCTCAAAACGTTTACTAGTCGAGAAAAAAGTTCAAATGTGTGCGTGACTTGCCGTCTCGCCGTCTCTGGCCCAGGGCCTTCCGTTGGGGAGGTACTTTCCCTGGTTCTGCCTCTTTTTCTGACCCCCGTCTGCAAACTTACATAATAACGGCTCTGTGGGCACTGGGAAAGCAAAAGATCAAACAGTTGAACACCGGGACCAACAAAAACAATGTCAAAAGCACGTACAAAGAAAAATTATTCTACACACATGGAACTCCTGGTGGAGTTTTGATGAATTTGCCATTGAAATGTTGAATAATGGCCTCACACTTCTCTGTGGACTCCATCCTGGAATAATAATAAGAAAAGAGATCAACATACTCCCACACATTTTCTCGTTATTATTTGAATTGCTGTGTCTGACCTGGCGAATCCCACACCGCGGCTGGTCCCGTTGGCGTCTCGCAGAATGCGTGTAGAAATGACCTGGCCAAAGGACTTGAGCATGCTCTCCAGCTCTTGCTCGTCCATGGACACCGGCAGGTTGGAAATGTACAGATTGGTGGGGTCCTGCTCCTGTTGCTATTTGGGAAGTGGGGGTTACGAAACACATTTTTAGTTGACATATTCCTTCATGCGCCAAAATCCCCTGATCAAACCCCATTCAGATCGAATTCTGAATGAGAACGGCAGAGTTCCTCCAAACTTGAACGGCTAACAACGGAGATAGATATGAAATGAGTCTGGTTAGGAGATGATGGCGCAAAAGATGACAGTGCCGGGGGTAGTAGTAGTAGTAGCATTTGCAAGTCAAAACAAATTATCGAAATAAAAGTGAAAACAAACAAGTCATAGAGCTCCGTTTTTGGGAGGCTTCCCCGAAAGGGAAAATAAGGGGCGGTTTTATATCAGGCAAGGCAGACTTAGGCTATTTTAAGATAAGAAAATCTTTATTTGTCTCACAATGGAGAAATTAGAAGTATCTTTAAGCTTGCCCTGAGTGTTTACACATCGTTTGTGTCTCCTTGTCGCTCCAAACATAATTGAAGGCACTGCAGCCAGAGGGAGAGCACTCGCTGTACACAAAGTGTGCCTGTGTCTGTGTGTGTGTGTGTGTGTGTGTGTGTGTGTGTGTGTGTGTTTATACTACCACTCTGACGCTGCCCACCCCAAACCCAAAACGTAACATTGTGTAATATAAAAGTAAGCTGTTATAACTCCATTTGTCAAGATATTTATAGCCTTGATTTATTTGGTCATTCTGTGACCAATAAAATTTTATAAAATTAAGAAAAACTTTTTTTTTTTTTTTTGCCTGATCCTTGATCAGCTGAAAACCACCTTAACGGCTCCGATTTCCGATCACATGACGGGTCGGGACGTCTCGAATAATTTTGATCTCTAAGGAGAATACCAATTGTGCATTTGTAGCATGTGTATTGTCTCATGATTATTGGGGGCTGGGATGCTCACGAAAATGTACTTTTACAACATGCCCACCCATTTAAATTGGGCTTGGCTTCCTGTACACATGTCCAATGGAAAAAGTCTCAACGAATAACTCCTCAGCTCATCTTTTAAGGATTTCACTTCATCTCTTTCAATGATAGTGCATTAGTGAGCTTTTTAATGCATGAATACTCCATTCCCACGATTGTACCAAGTACCGTCTTGACACATTAATCTTTTGCAAAGTAGATTCAGTAATAATGCCCAATACGAAACATTTGTCAAAAATCTGTGTAAGTGTAGAGTGTAACCCTGACTAATTTGTCACTTACGCTCGTGGTGCATCACTGACTTTACTAAGCTGTCTGCCACTTATAAAACTCTGAACGCACTCATTAATATACTCACACATGCAAATAAGAATTTGTCAACGCGCACACTGCGGCAAAATGTTATCTAATTAAGAAATATTGACAGCTGCGCGTGCATTAGAGCAGAGAGATTATCCTCGCACATACAGTTCTGGGACTTAATTTTTGTGGCGCTTGCCGGAAAGTGAAACCGTCTGAGACTGCAAAGGAAGACAGGAAGTCAGGCATGAAGTTAAAGAGTTCACAGAGCAACAGCAGCCTGGCAACTGGGAGCAAAGAGGCTGGGCAAGAAGGAGGGAAGGAAAACGTGAAGAGGAAAGGGGAGGGTGGGATGAATGAGGGGATGAATATTTGGTTCTGGAGGAGGAAATGACAAGATCGGAAGGAGTGGGAGTTTTGACTAATATTAAAGCAGGATGGCTGAAAAGACGATACATGTATCATCCCAAATACATAATTCTTTCATCTCTTCCTCTCTGCCTAATGATTACACTTATCCAAAAGCGAACAACATTTCTAATCATGGCTGACAGATTCTGTCACGTGAAACAATTCCATTTCCAAAACTGAAAACGCGTATCTTGAGTAACGACACCAGTGAGCACAGATGCTTCTGCAAGTGTTCCTGTTGGATTGTTGAGTTCATGCGTGATCAGTTATCCTGAACTAAATTGCTGATCGAGGTTGCTTCTATTGTCTCCCAAGACACATCATATTTTCTCAGTGATTCTCATCACTCTGGGTGCGGCACTTCAGCAATAACCCGACCGTGTAGCAACGCAGTGGCAGACTGCTGGAGGTCATTGACGAAGTGTAATTGTGCAGTGTGACAAGCTGAACAAATAAAACCACCTCCCTCTTTTCATACGTATTTTATTTACCCATCGCCTCTGCTAATTTCATTCGCTCAAATACCAAACTTGTGGCACGTAATACGGTTGGCGTCAGTCCATTCACTGTGAGCGTCATGTGAGGAGTGTCGTTCGATGTTAGCCCCATTTGCACAGGGAGGGACTGCAAAGTAAAGCTCCTAGTTTTAATTGTGTCATTGTTCCCCAGGCTATATAAAATTGTTTTTGCTCGCCCTGCACCCTGGAGGCTGCGGTAGCCCATTCGGAGACCAGGTGCACTCTGTACATTTAGGTAAAGGTTTGGTCCATTTTGCTTTTGGAAAATACGTCAAAACAAGCCACGCTGAAGACAAAATGGTCGATAGCAGCACTTTTTTGTGTTGTATTAATATCAGATTCTTCTTATAAACTGAAGTAACCCAGTAGCTCCGAGCCAGCTGTGTATATTTAGGCTTTTATTGTGGTGATCAACACGACTGCTAGAGTACAAACTGTCTGGGTGAGTCACGTTGTGGTATCCAGTTGCACTTGTCTGGTATGGAGATGCATGAAGTTAGGGTGCAGATCATTTACAGTGCATAGGGATACCCTGGTGTTACTTTACAGTGGACACAGGGAGGGGGGCGGGGACTTGGGGGTGAAGTGAATTCAGCGCGGGTGTCGGCCTCAGGCCTTGGGCCCAGACACTGGACAATGCCAAGCCATTGTAATTGCCCCATTGACAGTGGCTTTAGTGGCACCCTCCCCTGTGTTCCCTCAATGGGGAGCCGCAGAGCCAGGGGGATCAGCTTAATGGGCTGACAAGAGTTGCTTTGACTGCAGCAGACACCCGCACAAAGAGCTCTGGACAAGCGCTACAACGGGAGCAAGTTAGCAACGTACACAAGCAAAGAGAAGCTGGCGTGCAAGAGAGAGACACTTGTGAAGGGGCAAATGAAGACAATACAACGGGGCTTGGCCCGTACGCGTGACTGCTACTGTAAATAACACACTGGGGTTGTCAAGTAGATTGGTGAAGATATTATAGCGGCTTGAACAGGTACAAATGAAGCTAAGGTGGGATTTTAAAAAGTACATGCAATCTTACTTTGGCCATCTGTGCTTGGACGCCACTTGATTTCAGAGCCGTAACAGCTTTCTGAGCCGCTGCTGGACTGTCAAAGTCCACAAAGCCATAGCCTGTCAAATACACACATGCACATCAAGACAATAAGCAAAATGTTTTTTTTACTTCTTAAGGCATTGTTCCAAAATCAAGGTTACAAGTAATGGCAGCTAGCTAGCAAAAGTGGAAGAGGAGAACACATATGACCTGAAAGGTTTTCACTTATTCTGGGTATCTGAAAATGGGATGTCGTGGATGTTCCCCTGGTTAGCGAAGTTACCACATCACTAACTTTTCGGCACTTTAGTACCTAGCTAGTTCAAATCTTAGCTCTCAGCATGTTAACATATTGTATACCTTGACAAAAATCAACAGGCTTGAATTAAAAATCAACGGTCTTGAATTCTATTTGAATGTGATTACATTTAGCTGACGCTGCTGCTCTTGAAACGGAGCACATTTGCTTTTGTTTAAATGGGGCCGGTAATGTTAAATTGTTTGGATTGGATTGCTTTTTTCAAATTAAAAAATCATGTTATTTTTAAATAATGGTAAATAATTGATTGTTTTCTACGTTATTTTAAAGAAAAAAAAATCTTCAAGTGTCCATTCCATCTTTGCCCACACTATCAACCAGTTTGCTGTCTTCAAAATGTGTTGGCCTGAGGCTTAATGATGCAATTCGCGATTAAAGTTTGGCAACTCACCTTTACATTTGTTTGTGGTTTTATCCAAGATGGCCTTGGTTGACACAATCTTGCCATACCTTTTCAGACACACACAGAAACAAAAACATCCTGTCGGTGACTGATGACAAGGAATCTGCTCCTTCCACATGCATAACGATCCTCTCACACTTCCTCAGAGTGCATACCAACATAAACACACATGCATCGCTTTTACGTCACAGACAGCTAAGTCCACATCCACCCTTCCTTCTGGGGGAGGATTTCTGGCTTTGTTTTTGACAGGTGCACGCCTCCCAAGACTGAAGACAATTTGGCCCAAACACCTCACCCTGAGACACTTCTCCTCTTGAGTGTTGTCGCTATCTGACTGGGTTTTTAAGTAACATAAACATAGAGTATGAAGAAACCACTATACTCCCCCGGTTTCAATAAAGGACCAATGAGACGGAATATAGACACAAGCACTTCCAGCATGATTCATATTTTGTGTGGAGGCTAATGAGGAGTGTATCCACTTTACAGTATAATAGATTGTCCCTTCCTGGCTGTTGTATTTATCCAAAGCAGGAGGCTGGTCTTGCTTCTCTTTGGGCGACGTGGTGTCTGGGCGGATTGTAACCTGATGCTTCACCCCTCCATTTGGCCTTCCTTCCCTCACTCGCCCTCCTCCTTTTCCACCCTCACATCACAGAGCCCAGCTGGGTCCTACACGCCTGCCTTCTCCTGGTGGCCAGATGATTTGGATGTGTCCCATGTGTCTCTTGACACCTCACTGTGGCATTTTCTTGTACTACTCGGTGTCATAGCTCCATGTCTTTGGTTTCCTCTACTTAGACGTCTAAGTACATTCAAGCCAGCCACAAGGCATTCGGTTACACACACACGCTGTTGCAAGAAAGCGTGACATTATACTGTAAAATCCTTTCGGGGGGGCGTTTATATTTCATCGTCATCTGTTTGTTTAGAATTTCATGAAAAGCCGTCTGACAGCTGTAAGTGGTGCGTGACATCGAGCACACGGACCTCATCATTAGGTACATGTGAGCATTGTCTGCGCCAATGTAGATTTTTATTCAGCCTATCTTCTTGTTTTTTTTTTCCCCCTTTATTCTATTAAACATGTCATTTTCTTACGGACAGGTGTCGTTTCAGAGCACTTAACCCCAGAACAGGTACTTTTCATTCATATGAATCCAACTTGTAATTGATGACATTTTAGATCTGTTTAAAATGTTTAAACGTATTATTTTGCCTCACAGTGGCCAAGGGAGTTTGTAGATTTTTTTTTTTCACAAATTAAAAAGAAAAAATTTTCATGAATGCAATACTAATAAGATTAATTAAAATAGTGAAAAGCCGATGGACCCAAGTATGCTGTGAGGGGTCCTGCGGGAAATTATGCAATTTCTAGCCATCTATCGTCATTCATACAAGAGAAAATGTCATGACCCCCTTTTAGTATTTCAGATTTGTGTTAGTTTAAATAAATCCAGATTTTAAACAGACTGATTTAATTTGTGAGTACATTGAGATGAGATTATATTTAGTTCAGTATTTCTGTTTGGTGGTGTCCTGTGAGAGTATTCTTAAGTAAAGTGGTTGCCTTGGCTCAGTTAAGGTTCGGAAACACGATAATACTTTATAATGGGTTTATATACAAGGGAGCCAGTTAGATATCTAGATGTTGTATCGTCACGCTAATAAAATAACTGCCTAACGTTAGATTTTTACAGGACATGACTCTCCATAGTCAATGCAGATGAAAAAAAAAAATCGTATCTCAAAGACAAAAGATCAGTTAGGCAGTTATTTTATTAGTGTGACTTTACGTTGTATCTACGAGCAAAATATTAAACAGATCTCAATGTGAGAAAGATTACAATAATACGGATTTATTCATGAATGACTGTAAAAACAAACAAAAACAAAAACACGATTGCAAACAAAAAGGCGGCCCCTGATAAGTGTCTTTGTTTGAGGTATGACAAGAAAAAACAAAAGCAACGTTTCATGTGGCCATGTTTGCCCTGCCGGGAACACCGGACCAGTTCAAAAGTCCGAAGGCTTTGCTTTTGTGACCTTCCACTTAACCCGAGACCCTTCCAAAAGCTCACAAAACTGTAGAGGCCACACACACTTAAAAGACAGTCATGACCCACATACAGCTGCTTGACATTCTTTCCCAGCAGGCGGTACTACTCTTTTCCCACTCATTCATGTTTCGGCTAAAAAGGAGCCCTCCCAATCACGTCAGTCCCCTCTTCACATTTCTCCTGCCACACAATGGCTTCTCTGTCGGCCGTCTGCTTTTACAATCAAGTTCCGGTGTTCCACAGACCAACCGCAGATTTCTGCTTCACTTTGATTTCTGCGGCTTTGACAATAGGTTGTACACATGCTGTGCTAATATGGCTCTGAGGATTTGACGCTTTCTTTAGGGTGCACTGGTGCATCAAAATCAGGTAGAGGGGTCGGGTAAGACTATACTTTTCAAGTCCAGAATTGGAGTGAGGGGAGCCATCACTGCGATGGGCCCCTGAGGCCCATACTGGTAAACACTGACACTTTTCATGCTTTGACCAGGATGACGGTAGTTAACGTTCACAAGCAAAGATCTATAAGATAAAAGCATAGCCTTGAAGCTAAACCACTCGTGGTGCTTATTAATCACTGGGTGTTTTTGAGGCCGACTCCTCACTTTTGAGAGGTGTGCGTTTGGAACAAATTAACCAACACTTATTTCGCATCGGCTTTTTGTGTGACACCCTAAAAGAGACAAGTGTGCTGTGTTATTTATTGTGTTTTCTCACAGCGTCTGATGAAAAGTTCTCATGAAGCGGCAACTATGAATCTGCTCGACCACCGGCACTGATTTATGTCATTGTATTCTATCAGCTCAATATACTTTCTGACTCTGATCCTGTTCACCTTCATGGATAAGCTACAGGCTTTGGGTGACACCATTTCTCGTTGCCAGTCAAACGCAGGTTGACAAACAACCACTCAACACACACCAGTGGGCAATTTAGAGTTGTTAATTAACCTAACATGCACGCTCAATGAATCTCCAGCACATGGAGAATATGACACTTTTAATACTATCTTGGGTAATGTTGCTTTGTGGACGAAATCTTTTGAGTGCCCATTTTATGTTTTCTTCTTGAGGGAATGGGCAAATCCATCGACTTGATACCATTGTCCTGTCATCTGGAGCACTGTCCCTCTTCTACGTGTGCCAATACTTTTGTTCATATGGTATGTGGAGCTGTAGCTACAACTCATGGGATAAATATGTGTTGACAGCTGTTTGTCCCAATTACAGTCATTTTGTCAAAGGTGATTGGATCCATTGAGTAAGGATTGTGGTTTCATCATTGAGTCATTTGTCACTGCATGTTTGGAAGTCAACACATGCCAGGTCCTTAAAAGTGGATCCAGTTGTCTGGAGACAAAGTGCTAAATCAGGAATAAGAGTCATGCAGAGGATGTTCAATTGAGTTGATAACATCTGCTCTGTGGTGAGCTTTGCGCTTCATCTGTTGGACACATGATGAAATGAAATGTTGAGGCTGCAGTTTTGTTCAGAAAAGGCGTCACGCTGGCCATATGAATCCGCGAATTAAATACGATTGAGTTTGGTTTGATCCAATTTTAACAGGTGTGGGAAGTCGGTGGTTTGACCTGTCAATTTGTTTGACTTTCTGTGTTAAGTAGAGGAAGGAGTGAACTTCAGCCATATTAAGTCGGGAAGAAAAAAAATATGAGACAGAGCAAGGGGCCAGAGAAAGGTATAGCCAGTTTGCCTCCTGTCTAATCTAAACTTCCATTTTGTGTAAGATCGGAACTGGCTCAGTGGTAAGCAACTGGAACGCTATTGCATCGAGAGTGGGATGTATAACACATACACACACACAAACTTCGTCATGATGTGTGATTCATCTCATTGAGTATTTCCATTTTACATTCATTAAAATGGGTACAAGTATTGAAACACGAGCGCTGAAGTTGAATTCGCCAATACATTTTGCCATTTTATTTCTTGCGGTCTGAACTTAAATCAATTTTGAATGCAGACTTTGCTGATCCCAATGCTCAAACCGTCAAATGTTTAAACTTACGGCTGGCAGAGCTTGACCAGGTCTTGGTCCGTAGTCCCTGGATGAAGGCCGCGGATATACAGGTTGGTTTTACTTAGCTGTTCTCCACCTCCTCCGCCACTGCCGTTGTTGCTGCTACTGTTGTTGTTGGGACTGGGGGGAGCCATCTGGTGGCCGGAGGACACATAGGCCTGCTGTGAGAAGACAGGAAAGTCAGAATTGTACCAAACCTGGGAGGAAAAAAAAAGCAGTCCTTTGATTCACCAACAGATCTGGGGTTGTTCCTTGACCAGTGTTACTTTCGGAATGTTGTTTGCGCAATTCAACACAAATCTCATGAACACAAATTCAAGCCAGGCAGTTTGGTTTGCCCCGGTACAGATTTTGAAAAAGCGGAAGTGTTGTTTTCTACATTCAGTCTCAAACTGTTGGAATAAATTACCTCAGCTAACAAAGTACTTACACCGCAGACTGTCTAAAGACTCATCGGGGTTTGTACAGCTGGAGGAAAGTTGATTTAGAGACTTCTTCATTCCAATTGGAAATAAATTTCAGACCAACTTCTCAATGCTGCCAATGTCCCATATTGTGCAAAGATGCTACAGCACATACTGTACATGACTTGTGTCTGCTCGACTAAAGACCACATCACTGGTATGTCGTTTCCGCATTTGCGATTGCGTAATGTTGCCACAAAAGTCATTCAGTAAATTTTTTTTTAATGCTCATTTGCATTTGAGATTTGAGACTATTTAGAGTCATAAAATGACTACTACTTACCATGTGTTCATATTTTACCAGACTTTTGAATGATTCATCTACGACATTTTAATGCAGATTAAAGCTTTCTTTCTACATTCATGAATTCAGTAACTTTGAAGACATTCGAAGGACCCACAGGAACCCTGGTTATGCTCTATGTACGCATGAAAGTTGATTATTTGCTCATTCTAAACATCCTTGCCCTCATACTTCCGTGTATCCATTGAGGTGGAGTGAACGTTCAGCTATTACTTGGCCAAAGGGCATCGCTCTGAATCCAACAGCAAAGAAGAGAAAATGATCAGCATATGCGATAAAGGTGTTTTGTTTAAATTGCGATTATTAAAAACTGCAAATTGGACATTCGACATTGGGAAATCCAAACAGGCGAATCAGAATGGGGGAATGGTTTTGCTTGTTGTTGTGTGTAGCTCTGTGCACCGTGAAAATAAAGCCAATTACCCAGAGAAAACCACTGCAGTCTGCGTGTTATTATTTGGGAATTAACAGTACAGGGGTGTTTATTCAAAAGTCAAAGCACCCATTTTGCCGAAGACTTTTTCAATTCCTATGCGTAACCCGCATAGAGCACTAATCCGTATTAAGCGCTACTATGAGCTCCCCACGATGTATATTTGTATTTGTGAAGTTACTGTTTCACCTAAATCCTGTAAACGTCGCTTGGTTTGCCTTGCTGCTGCAGACTGTCGAAACAATTGTCAAAGAAGAGGTCTACGGCCGGTTGCGGACCGGATTCTAACGCTCAAACAATTCAACAGACACCCAACGGATCGTCATATGCACCGCGGTTGGGAAATTCCAATCACCTTTTGTTGATATCTGTACATTGCACAACTTTTGACTGATAACAACATAGCTGACCCAAAATTAGCCAGGTTTGAATTCTGTCTGAGGTATTTAAAAAGAATTTGCCTGCTTTGTCAACCCTAACTCAACTGCTTGGTTGAAATGTATTATGAATATGTCTAAACAAACAAAAAAAAAAGAAAACTAATGATTATTTTCATTTTTTGAAACACATCAGCCATTTCGTTGGGCAGCTGCGGCGCTGTCGTAAGTGAGAACAAGGAAACGGGCTCTTATAGGAGATAAAAAGTGAATCTGCCGTCGACAGATGTGCGCTCTCTTTAGTAAAAAATTATATCACACAGCGCCCGTGTCAACAGCCACCAATAATGCTTTCTGAGGGGAATGTTGGGCCTCTTGACTGCTTACTCCATATAGGGGGAAAAGGGGCCTCTTTGGCTCGCTCCATGTTGTATAACTCCAATTTTACTCTTGAAACCACAACAAATATCTTGCGGGGCATTGCAAAACCAGAAACTGGAAGAACAAAATTTAGGGAAAGCTCAATTCATATTTTGTGCTGCTTGCTTTTTCTCATTTCTGATCAAATCTTCCGAACGAATAGAGTGTTTCAAATATGGTCTCCTTTTTAGACTTAGAAGCTTTGAGGGAACAGCAACACGGAGGCATTAAGCAGAGCAAAAGCACACACCAGGGATTCATTGCGGTAATACTTGCATGCAACCATCTGTACTGGGCTCATCAATCCCCCTTTGTAGTTCCCAACAACACTTGCAACCACAACTGACTTTAATGCCGCCAGTTACGAACTACGGCGGCCGACTCGCCGTGACTCACCAATATAACAGGATATTACGCAACCCCCAGTGAATCACGGACTGAGGCTCTCCATGGAGAATTTATACAAAAGATTGTGCAACCATTCATCCAAATCCATCTTGAGGTGAACAAGGTTTCATAATCCCTGTGAGATGGGGGGGAGAAGTCTTTCCAGGAATAGATGTAGTGGCACTTTTACGACTGAGGCAATAAGCAGCAACATGAGGATTCACCACAGCTGGCACACTGACTTATATCTAGTTTATTTAGCCAAATGCCGGTAGTTTTAATGTCCTACTTGTGAGGAATAGGAATAAATGTCGTTTCCTACTGGTCTCGCAGTTGGGTGCAGTGAGGCTCCCGTCTCATTTGCAAGACCAATTGGACGGCTGCGGCGCGGGAACAATGGGTTCTTTTAAGAGACGTGAACGGGTCACTGATTAAACTGACGTTGTTGGGGGAAAGCCCAGCAGGGCCGACACAGTCAAACCAGCGACGTCAACCAATCACGCTAATCAGAGTATCCAGAAAGGCTCGGTGCCCCTTGATGAAGGAACCCCCCCAAATAGAATCTTTGTCTCAAGATCATACAATGCAGAGACACACGGAAAGCATTGGAACAACTAGACATTATAGTACAGTGACAAGAACTGAAACGTTTTATTTCAGATTTTGGGTGCCACCCACAATGGCTCAAAGAACAACTCAAAGACTTTCACAAAGGAAGGTCGGTGCCTACATTCAAAACCAGAACCCCACGAAGCCGGCGTGCTCCCAATTTAAAGATGACATAAACGGTGCTGAGAATTTTCTCTTATAATGCCATTGCAGACAAAAGATCCGCATTCAGACAGCAGAATTGAATTGTTATCTTCTTCTGCTGCACATTTGTAGCAAGGTAACTCAAAATATCTGGTGCATATTTTTAGGATCCAGCTAAAAAAACATTCAGGATCCTTTCCATAAATAAAACACTTTGCTTTATCTTGGTGCAAACGTCATACTCATCGAACGCCAATGCTCTCGAGGGGGAATCAAAATATTATGATCTTCGTCAAGGCAGAATTTTCAATGAAATGGACAGCTCAAAGATGTCATTACAGCAGAGCATACAAGTATACCTAATGAAGTGTCCAGTGACGAAAAGCTTTGACTGCAACATTTCTCAGCTTGTTTCAATGTCCGCCCTTTTCGTTAGTTTCACTTCACCTCCCTGTGGGGTTTCCTCCAGTTGACTCTGCCGCTCGACCCTCAGAATTTCCTGGATTCCAGGCTGTTGGGGAGTTTTCCCGCCTTTGTGTGTCATGGCTTCTTTAACCTGAGGGGACTGCTTGTCTTCTCCTCGGGAAGGAAAGTGACCAGCTGACTGACGTACATGCTGATGCATGGATTTACAGCCTGTCCGAAGGAAGGCCTTGGAGTAAAGCTGCGGAAACGCTACATTCCAAAATTCATATTCATGGTCCTTATGTACCTTTTCTTTTCACTTTGCATCGCCAATAATATTTCATCTGTTCTCACAGCCACAAAAGTAACCGTTATTTAGCCACAGAAGTAACCCGTATTTGAAGATGACAAGGGCTAATGTATACCCAATTTTTCTGAACCTAAATCTAAAATTTAAAAATGGGCGGCGCGGTGATAAACTGGTTAACACGTCCGCCTCACAGGGCAGAGGTGCAGAGTTCGATTTCAGCTCCGGCCTTCCTGTGTGGAGTTTGCATGTTCTCCCCATGCCTGAGTGGGTTTTCTCCGGGTACTGCGGTTTCTTCCCACATTCCAAAAACATGCATGGCCGGTTGATTGGGCACTCCAAATTGTCCCTAGGTGTGTTTGTGAGTGCGAATGGTTGTTTGTCACTGTGTGCCCTGCGTTTGGCTGGCTACTGTTTCTCGGTATACTGCCCCAAGAGAGCTGGGATAGGCTCCAGCACGCCTGCGACCCTTTTGAGGAGAAGCGCATTAGAAAATGGATGGATGGATAAAATAAAAAATGAAAAAACAATCCCTTAATTAGCATATCCCTGGTCTAAATGCTCCCTTTTGATTTGAAAAACTCAAGTTTAGTTGAGAAAATCACTTGAAAAAATATTTTATTCTTTTGATCTGAAATTTACAGTACTATTAGACAACTTGCACTTTCTGGTGCATGCAAATTCAAAAGACTGCAAAATTTGATAAAAACATACGGTGGAACCACTAACCAAACTAAAACCAAATCCCTTGGTGGATGAAGATCAACTTTTCATTCATTCGGATTTTGAAACAATTCTTCTGATAGGAAATGTAAATAGAGAGCTGCATTTCCAGGGTTAAACAGTCACAAATCTAAAACCCTTATGAAGTCTACAAGCAAGTCTTTAAAATTTGTAACCCTCATACAAGCGTGAAAGTAAGTTAACCACTACAAAACAAAACAAACAAAAAATATATATTTTAGCATTGATTAATTAGTTTTTTTTTAACACTAGTAATTAATTTGCAGGGGGTAGACGAATATCAGAAGCTATGAACATTTGATCAGAACCTAAATGACCCTGACAACTACCAGAACACACTTGTTTGTGGCTTCTTCTGCTGCAAGAGATCAGACAAACTAGTTTCTGTTTGTGAAAGAGGCTTTAAAGCCTATTATTATCATCACACACCTCTCTTAATTACTAGTCACATTTCCTGTACACAGAAGAAAATGAATGCGGCAATATGAACCAAAGCTTTAAAATGAGCTGGGTGTTCTGCGAGGAATGTGTCTCCCATAAACCTACAAAGTCAGCACGGAGATAGGA